GGAAGGGTGGTCAGAGGCTCAACCAAATCTCCTAGAGACCTTCCTGGGCAGAGTGAGCCTTTACATTATCCTCTGGCATAATGGGGAAGCAGTGGTGCCTGGAGAGCTGCTGAGACCCTCTCCTTTCCCAGCTGCCTCAGAAGGACCATGTGACTGAACGATGCAGAAGAGCACCTCAGGATCTCTGTGGGTCTCTTCCCTGAAGAGCATCCATCACTAAACACCCAGAAGCTGCCTGTGGTGGCCCAACCTGGCCGATAATTTGAGTTCAGGGCTAATTAATGCAGATGAGGTCAAGTCTTCAAGACCAATGCTGTTAAACTCAGATCTTAGTATCATGCCTCACAGTGTCTCACATGGGCATTAAAACCTCTCCGATAAGGGCAGCTCTGTGCACTGGAGGTGAAATCAGGATTTTTCAGGCACTGGAGAAATTCTTTTGACAGGAGAAAAGGTCATGAGGAAAACAAGAGGGCAGATGGGCAGGTGGGACGGTCTCTTGACAGCCTGAGACAGGATCCAATGTGGCTCTGCTGAAAAGTGACATTTGGTTCCTTCAGAGGTTGGCTCAGTCAAGTCAGCAAGGAAGCCCCAAAGTCCGGGCTGCACTATTGTCATGAAATCTGCAGAGATGATCCAGGCACCATCCGGGAGGAAGAGGCAGACAGGACACGGCCACCCCACCCCCCAGCTAATCAGTACATTCATTTATGTGGGAACCTATCTCTTTTTCTGTTTTAGAATATAATACCTAGTAAGATCCACATTCTGGAAGATGTTTTTTAAACTAAGTAATAATAGGATGACCCTGTAGAATATATGCACCCCATAAAGCAGAATGAACATGCTTTTCATATGTTTGTTCCTAGATGCTTCAATCCCAAATAAATCAAAATAAAATATTTTCAGTTTAATGTAATTTTATCAATTCAATAGATTCCTTTCCTCAAATCAATCATCAATAAATTTTATGGAACCTTCCCTATGTTGTTATAAGTGGAAATGATAAGTAATATTAGTTTTCTTTGGAAAAATATTTGTTGAATTTTAGAAAAGCATGTTGGGATCCTTTCAATTATCTAGAATAAATTGATGGAATCAATTTCCTTCAAAATGTTAAAGACTGATCCTAAACTATAAAGCTACTAGAAGAAAACTAAGGAAAACACTTCAAGACATAGGCAATGATTTTTTTGGATAAGACCCAAAAGCACAGGAAATGAAAACAAAAAATAGACAAATAGAATTGTGGCAAACAAAGAAACTTCCGCACAAAAAAGGAAACTATCAACAGAATGAAGATATAACCTGAAGAATGAAGGAAAATAGTTTGCCAAATATTCATCTCACAAAGGATTGGCATCCAGAATATAGGGCTGGAGATATACATCAGTGGTAGCATTTGTCCAGTAAGCACAAGGCCCTGGGTTTGAGCAAAAGGGCAAAAAAGAAAAACAAAATATATAAGAAACTTTTAAAACTCAATAATGAAAACTAAATGATCCAATTTTAAAATGGGCAAAGGATGTGAATAGATATCTCTCAAAAGAAGAAAATCAAATGATCAACAAATTGATGAAAAATGTACTCAATTTCATTAACCATCAGGGAAATGCAATTCAAACCCACAGTAAGATATCATTTCACCCTAGTTTGAATGATTATTATCAAAAAGACCATGATCAATGCTGGTGAGAATGTGGAGGAAAGGCAACCTCGTACACTGTTAGTGGGAGTATAAATTTGTATAACCACAACGGAGAACAGCATGGAGGTTCCTCTAGAAACTAAAAATAAACCTAACCTATGATTCAGCTATCTATCCCACATCTGAGTTTATATCCAAAGGAAATGAAACCAACATACCAAAGAGATTACTGCACATCCATGTTTATTGCTATGCACAATATGGAGTCAACACACATGCCCATCAACAAATGAATGGATAAAGAAAATATGGTAAAATGGAGGAATTGTGATTAGGTAAAGGGGAGGGAGGGCGGGGAAGGTGCATGAGAGCAGGAAAGATAGTAGAATGAGATGGATATCATTACCCTAGGTACCTGTATGACTGCAAATATGGTGTGATGCTACATCATGTACAATCACTGAAATGAAAAGTTGTGCTGCAATTATGTACAATGAATCAAAATGTATTCTGCTGTCATATATATACCTAATTAGAATAAATAAATATTTTTTTTAAAAAAAGAAAGTATGGTATGTAAACACAATGGAATGTTATTCATCCATAAAAAAACAGAATGATGTACTACCATTTGCAGCAAACTGAATAGAACTGAAAGACACTATTAAGTAAAATATGTCAGACACAGAAAGACAAATATTGTATGTTCTCTCTTCTGTGGATGTTTTCTAAAAACTAATCAGAGTAAACAACAATCATTGCAAGAGGCTGGGGAAGGTAGAGGGGAGGAAGGACAGTAGGAGGTTGGAGAACCGGGACCTAAACATATTTAGAAGTAACAAGATCTAGTGTCTCGCAGCATAGTGGGGGGATTATAACCTGTTACATAATTTATGAATAACTAAAAGAGAGAACCTAGAAGACTCCAAACACAAAGTAATGACAAGGAGATAGAAGCATTAATTACCCTGATATGATCGGCACATTGTATTCACGTACTGAAATATCACACTGTACCCATAAATATGTACGTCTTTTAATTTTTTAAAAATGGAAATGTTGACTACTTTAATTTGATCCTTACACTGATATTTCTGCTATTTACTTTTAGTTTTTATTTTGATTAGTGTCTTGTGGATGTACATGATGGCAAGATTCACTGTGGTATATTCATATATGTACCTAAGAAAGTTAGGTCAGAATCATTCCACTGTCTTTCTCTATCCTAGCCCTTCTTTTTTCCCTTCATTCCCCTTTCTCTATTCCACTGATATTTCATCTATTCTGTTTTTTTCAACCCTCCACCCTTATTTTGGATTAGCTTCTGCATAGCAGAGACTGGCTTATTTCACTTAACACGATACTCTCCAGTTTCTCCATTTACCAGCAAATATCATAAAGTCATTCTTCTTTATGGCTAAGTAGTAGTCCATTGTGTATATATATATATATATATATATATATATATATATATATATCACATTTTCTTTGTCTATTCACCTGTTGAAGGGCACCTAGATTGGCTCTATAGTTTAGCTATTGTAAATTGTGCTGCTTTTTTTTTTAACTTCAAAGACAGTGCCTAGACAGTGTGTGCACAAACATGCACATACCCAAGCACACACACACACATACATGCACACACATTGTGGAAAGCAGGGTTCTAAGATGCCCCCCGCTGTATAATCCTCTCCCAGGAGTGTGAATGTGATGGGCCTCACTCCCATGATTCTTACCTTCTGCTATTGTTTGAATATGGTTTGTCCCCTAGGAAAGCTCACACTGAGGAACAGTGTCAGGAAGTAGGGTCTAGTGGACGTCATGGGGGTGGAGTCCTCATGAATGGAATAATTCCTTCTCCTGTGAGTTCTTGCTCTCGCGGGGTTGGACAGCTGCTGTGACGGCAGGTTGCTATGTAGTAAGCCCAGCCCTCATGCTTTGCCTTCTCTACCCATGCCCACTTGCCATCTCCTCTCCACCATGAGTTGAGCATCAGGAGGCCCATCCTGGCTCACACTCTTGCACTTCCCAGCCTCCAGACCCTCAACCTAAATAAACTTCTTCCTTATAAATTGCTCAGTCACAGGTATTTTTTATAGCAACCGAAAACAGACTAAGAACCCTTTTATGGCAGAAGGAATTTCACACATGTAACTGAGGTCCCAGATCAGTAAACTGTAACTTAACCACAGGAAGATTATCCTGGGTGGGCCTGACTTAAGCCAAGTCCTTAAAAGAGCCTTTCCGGATGACCTCTAGGAGCTGACAGGGACCCAGTGGCAGCCAGAAGAAGAAAAGCATCTCAGTCCCACAACTGCAAGGATCTGAATTCTATCTGAAGGATCATGGCCCAGGTAACACCTGGATTTCAGCTGCATGAGACCCTGAGCAAAGACTCAGCTTTTAGGGGCCTGAACTTCTGACCTAAAGAAAGATATTAAACAGACATTATTTTATAAGTTAACTTTGTGCTAATTTTTTATGCAGCAATAAAAACACATACACAAAAACACCATCATTCTTCCCTCAGAATACCCACTCCTTCTTAGTCTATTCCTTAAATGATTCCAATAACCAGGACCCTTTCAAAAGGGTCTCTGAGCAGCCACCGAGGGGAAGGAACTGCTGGAAGGAACTACACATGTACATGTGCGTGAGCACGGGCAGAGAAGTGGGGGGCAGCCCTCCTTGGATTCCATCTGCTATTCTTTTCTTTCTCCCCACCCCCCATCTGTTTGGTGGTAGTGGGTGTTTATATCTGTGTTTCGCTTCACACATTTCCAAATCTTTTAAAATTTTACATGAAAAGTGTGCTTTTACTATTTTTGCCTTATCACTCTAATTAAGATACACTAGTCTGTTAATGATCACATTGTATGTAGAGAAAAAAAATTCATTGATACTCCCTCATTAATTACTTCTCTAGCAAATAATTATACTTAGAATCTTAATTTTTCTAACTCAACTTCATTGTATTAATAAATTTTAGTCCAAAATTAAAACATGATTGCTGTTACTCAGTTGGGCACATTTCATTCATGAGATTGTAAAGCTATTATAAATTAACCGAAATTATAGTCTGCTGTACTATAAAATGACCGTGGTCTCCTGAATAAGTTGATTATTTTTTTAGAGATGATCCAGGGATCTTTAGTTTAAAGGCATTGAGGTTTAAAAAAAAATGGCTAAAGGTGTATGGGTGAGGGTTTTTTTGGGGGGTGGGTTGTTTTTTATTTTTGTTTTTGTCACATGAAAGAAGTTGGAAGGTAGTAGCAAAATAATAGAAGTTCTCTTCAGCAATATACCTTGTGGATATGGAGGAGGTTCTAGTCAGTAATATAGTTCATGGATCTTGTGGTGACTGATAAGATTTTATTTTTGAAGAAAAACTGCTTATGTGAAGTGCAGAGACATGCAGGCAAGTCCTTTCTTCAGGCTGCAGACCATGACACACCAACAGTCGTTTATCTTGCTTTAGGTGTATGTTCTTTCTCCTCTCAGCCATTTTTTTATGATTACCTTCCCTTCTTGTTTCACTCCCCTCTCTCTAGCCCAGAAAAAACTTGTGGATATTCAGAAAACCTTTAGCCTTATACCTCAATCACCTTTTCAGACCCATCTGAGTTTTAAACAAAGTGGAAGAATCTGAGAATTGGCTGAGGTCTGAATATTGTTATTGATACAGTTTTATGTAGCAAGCTGTGCTTACTGCAAATCCTTCTTGGCTGCCAACATGTGAGACCATATTAGTAAAAAGAAAAGAAGCAGGGGAAGCTTTGGGAAGCAGTATCAACGTTCCTCAAAAGTCAGAATGATTGCCTGTTGATAATTAATGAGATATTCCAGTCAAATTTTTAAGTTGGCCTCTCAAATGATCTGGATACCAACCCTGCTCAGTTTTATGATTTTTCTGAGTAGAACCTTTAGTTATTCTTCCTATAATTTTTTATCAGATATAGCATTTAATTAGAATATAGTAGGCAACTGGGAGAATATTTGGGACTTAATATTAAGATTTATTTTCAAGTTAATGTCCATTAAAGTAGGAGAATATTTGGGATAAGTGTGAGTGTGCACTCACTTACATGGCTGCTAAGTAAAATATGATGAATAGACAAGCACGCTGGAGGGTCCATGTTCAAGGCATTTGCTTTTATAACTGGCTACAATTTTTTCTTTGTTTTGAGTATTTGTAATGTTTTTTAAAGTTAGTGTGAGCAAATTGATTGCAGTTATGCTTCTCCACTGGGACACATTTAAATTACTGAGTAGAGTACTGCTGCTGCTAATTTTTACTTTAAAATTTGTGACTTGGTGTTTTAAAGCAAAAAAACTGAAGTTATTTGTGGAAAAACTAAAGTGGTTGCAAAACTGACTGAAACAAAACATTTGGGAGAAATTTAGTAGGGAGATCAGAAACTATAAAAGATTAACATTTTTCTTCTAATTTTAACAATCAAAATGCCCTGTTTTTGTCTCTAAGAATCCTCATTACACAGTATGCCAGATTATAAAATACTTATCTTTAAAATGAAATCTACACATTGACTTTCTTATCAATCATCTTATTGTACAATCAAAATTAGAGTTCTTTGGTTTGAGAACAACACTTCGTGAGTCTCCAGATAACTTTTAAGAACCTATTTAGTTTTGTGGATAGTATTTTCATGCAAATAAATAAGTGGGGTTCCTATTTTTATATAAGTTTTAGATCCTATTTTAATGCTATTTGTATGGCAGTATGTATATAGTGGTTAAGTTCTTTGAGAATCTCTCCTTTCAAACTTTGAAGTTACTACTTTTGTGCAACTGTGGTTTTGAATAAAGCTATGATATTGTTTTTTGTTTTATTTTTTTTAAGTCATTAAAGTTAGGGACAGTGTCACATCTGTAATCCCAACTACTCAAGACTGAGTCAGGAGGATGGTGAGTTCAGGGCCAGCCAGGAAAACCTAGAAAGATCCTGTATTGAAATTAAATAAAAAATAATCGAATGCATGCATTAACTCCTCCACATTTTCATCCCAATGTTTACTGAAGCTTAATTGAGTGTCTGGCAAGTACATGTCACACATGCAGCTCTGAAGTAGTTGCCATGGGGAAATTAAAAATTAACAAGACGCAGCAGACTTCCCACTGCTGGAAGAGCTGTAGCACACCCATAAATAATCCTAGAACAGGCCAGTCTGAGAAGGCCAGAGCTGTGTGACAGAGGAAGCGCACTCTGAGGGGGGACTGAACACAGGAGGTGTTTATGGGATGGGACAGAGGAACAATAATATTCTCAAAGGCTGGACTTTGGGTTGTAGTCTGTGAGCAGATGGTGGTGGGTCCTCAGTTTCTTCACCCAGTCTGGACACTGTTTCACAGGCAAAAGACAATCAGTGAAGGCCGAGAACTGAGGGGGACACCCTCAGGTAAGTATGAAGACGTTCTAGTGGCCATGTGGAAAATAGGCAGAATTGAGTGAGCCTAGAGACCAGGAGAACTGTCCAAAGCCAGGTACATTATCCAGGTCAGAGATTCAAGAGGTTGAGGCTGGAGAACTGGGAGGAGGGCTGCTGAGGTGAGCCCTGTGGAGGGAAGCAGAGTTTGTTTCAGACAGCAGAACCAGTGTGAGAAGTCATCAAAAATTCTACCTATTAACAAAAATAAGTGCCATTAACAAAATTAAAAAGAGAGAGAGAAAGAGTCTAGGAATTCCCAAGAAATTAGTTCTAGAGAGAAGGAGTGGCCCCTTATCTGATGGGAAATTTCCACCCACAGAGGAAAAAAGAATGCAATTCTCCTTTATTGCCTTCTATTCTCAACTAAAGAACCATTAAACCCAAATTGAGGAGCTAAGAATGCTGCTCCTATGCAGAATGTCAGGCATGAGCTATTCTGGTATATACATGCGGGTTTCAAGAAACCAAAATCCACTCTGTTCCAACTTATTTTTAAAATAACCAACTGGGTGGTTCTGCTTTGGCAGGATCTGTCTTTCACTTACAGCAAACCCTTTGCTCAACTTCCTCTTGCTTCCTGCTTGGATTTTAGTCATGGGCAGTCCTTCAAACACACTGTCGCACTGACTTCCCCGGAACTCCATTGTCATTTAGCAGTGACCATGTCCTCATATTGTGATCAAATTATTTCCTCTGGGGAATAAAGTAGTTCAATGAGACCATAGTGAGGGTAATTATAATACAATTTCTTTACAATAGGGTCCTCCTTCCAGTACTTTCCTATTGTTGAAGTCACTAAGAGGATGGCTAAGGGTTAAACCCAGGGAGAGGAACTGAGAGGCAGAGGGAGAAAATGAGAGATGAGGTTGGAAGGCAAGTTCAGAGACCCAGGAGTATAGATCCCAGAGTCACTCATAAATGCAGAGGATACACTTTCCCACTCCCAGCCCCTCTGCTTGTTACCAAAAGCAGATGGACTGGAAACCATCACTCACTTTCACCATTCAGTGGGCAAGAAGCAGCCTATAAGTTGAAAGCATGTTGGAGGGAAGAGGGGGTCCTGGGAGGATTAAGGCCCACACAGGCTGGGGTTCAGGGAAGGGATAGGGTATAGGGAAAATTGGTGTGTGGAGAAGCACACTGTGGGAAGTCCAAGGGAAGGCCCTGGAGTCCATGTCTTGTGCTCTACATGGCCAGTGCTCTACATCCCTATCACAATGGCCATCTGACTGGTAGAGACTCAATCTCTGCTTCACCATTCATAATTCTGCCAAAGAGAAACTCGTGACTTCTGAGATTCTCCCCAGCTGAAAGAATATGGACTCCATTGACTGAAATCATTTATTCTGTTGTCAAACTTACCTCAAGTGTTCCAGGATGCTTATAAAACAGAGCTTCACTGGGCACAGTGGTACAATTTGTTATCCCAGTGACTTGGGAGGCTGAAGCAGGAGGATCACAAGTTTGAGGCCAGTCTCAGCAATTTAGTGAGACCCTCAGAAACCCTGTCTCAAAATAAATAAATAAATAAAATTTTAAAAGACTAGGGATGTAATTCAGTGGTAAAGCATCCCTGAGTTCAATCCCCAGTACCAAAAAGAAAGAAAAAAAAAACTTCTATTTTAATCTTGACCAATGACAGAAATTCTGATAATATTACTATGTATGTTGGCATCCCATGTCAACATCCATAGAATTTTGGGGTTTTTTAACCAACTCTAATTTCACTGAACATTCTTTTCACAAAAACGCATATTTTCCTAGACCTTGAGTCACTCCATAAATACCTGGGATTATTGGCACATATGCTAAGGCAAAGACCATTGGAGAGAGAGTGTGTAAATTCTGCTGCTCTAAGACTTGCTGCTGGTCATGACTGATGTATTACTCATGAGAGATAAGGGAGCACCAATCACATAGGCACAGCCCACCCAGCAGGGGAGGTCCAGGAAGACCTCCGCCAGGAATAGAAGCAGGATGGGGAAGGGGTAGCTGGTAGGAGTTTGCTGGGAAGAGAACTGCTCCTTGTGCAAAGTTCAAGATGCTGAAGAATTTAACTAAGGACATGGCAATATAAAGAGAAAAGGTGATTAACACAAGATCAACTAAAGGAGAGTGAATCCCAAAGACCTTCCATAATGGATAGGGTAAGGAGCTGAGGTGTCAGGTCACTGACTGAGACTGGAAATGGGGAGAAGGCACAGGTATCAGGGAAGGAAATGAGTTCAGTCTTGCCTCTGTCGGTGGGACACCCCAAAGCCATTTTTTGATGGACTGCCCACTGTGTTCATCTGGGGACCTGGGAGCAGGGTCTATGATGAAAAATCCCCAGTATGAGTTACTCAAAAAGAGGATCTGAGAAATCAGCAGAGAACAGTATAGTGTAGTGCACATGTTCTCTCGGAGTTTGTAGAATAAAAATAGATATAAGGTGTATGCAAAAGATTAAAGATCTGGTTGTAAAGATAGATGAAGAAGAAACATAGCGAGGCATAGAAAACAGAAATGAAGTGTGGGCCCCCAGGCATCGCAACCATAGGTTGGGGAGTAAAGAGCATCCTGGGCACCACTACTCTACCTGCAATGCCCCCTCAGTCTTTCCCAAGACTGTTGAGTTAGTTGCTCTCTGCACCATTTAGAAGATGAGAAAAGTGAGCCTCATAAATGGTGCATGATGAGTCCAAAATCACACAGCTATTCCCTGATGGAGCTGCAGTTCATACTTATCACAAAGAACCTGTTTCTTCCATATGCCAGGAGGCACTGGAATTGCCCTAGAAGAATGGAAAGGTCACCTTCAGATGCTGAAAAGGGATCTGGTGAGAAGACCCTTAACTGCCCGCTCACCTACCTGTGAATAGTTCAGGCTCTGGTGGGGTTTGATTGGCAGGAGCCAACTGCAGAGTCTAGAGGAAGGGCTAGAAGGGGAGCTGCATGGCTGGGTTCTCTTGCTAGAGGCTCAACTGAGGGAGAGATAGGCCTCTCAGGGGCTTCGCAGCAACATCAGGTTTTATACCTTTTTTTTTTCTTTTGTTGGCATTTTAAGCCTATACAGGCTCATAATGGGCAGGCCAAAAAAAAAGAAAAAATATTTAATGTTTGAGAAAGTAGGGGGTTAAATATAGAAAAGAACAAAGTATTTAAGAGAAGGAGGTTGAAGGTGTCAAGATCCCAGTTGGAGGAATTACCCCTGGATGAGAGGGTGGTATCTTTGTTTCAGAGCCTTGGAGCAGAGAGGAAAGGACATTTGTGGATTTGGGGCCAGGAAGCTGAAATAATTCTCATCCAACATGAGGAAGGATGAGAGAGCAGATGCTGAGTGGGAGAGTGAAGAGAGAGACTGGGGGAGAATGGTAATGGGCAGATGCCAGTCAGAGTCCCATATGCCGTGGAGCTTAAAGACCACATGCTGGTGGCTGAACCAATAGTGTAACTCTCCCATCATCTTGACCATCCCTCAGCTGCAGGTGAGCAAGAAAGGAAAGCAGACGGCTCTCGTGATTCACAGTGGGGCATTGGCAGAAGGTCAAGGAGGAGAGGAATCAGCCAGGGCGGGAGTGACCTTGAGAAGAACTTACGAGAAGAGAGGCATGTTGCAATGTGTGTTGTAATGAGAATTGGGGGGAAAAAAAACCTTTATATAATCAGGCATCTAAGATCCAAGGGTCCATTTTTAATGATGTCAAGATAGTTCTCCATGAACCTTTGTTAAAGGTTCCCTAATCTTGTCCCCCACCCCACATCTCTTTCAAAAGTTAGTAAATAAATATTCAATAGACAAGCTTCCCAGTTAGCCTTAGCAACAGGGGAAAACAAAGCTCTAGGGTTATCTGAGATGCATGAAGGAAAAATGTGAAATGTCCACAAGCAGAGGCAGCTCATGGTGCCTTCGCGTGACTCCAGGTCTCTGGGAAATCAGTCAGGAGCACTAACACCCCCTCCCCCAGAATTGGTAAGCCTGTCCTTTGGGGCTTAGTTTCCTTGGAATCATCTTCTTTCACTTTCCTCGCCTGGCAGAAAGCTTTGTTTCCTTATCTGCAAAATGGGGTCCCAGACCTCAAGTGGCTTGACCCCTCCAAACTTTAGCAGTTGGTGACCCTTCCTTGTCCCTGAATGACTGCTCTATAGCCTTTGCTTCTGCATCCTCCAAAGATACACCCCCCCAGCCCATTCAAAGTAAAACACATTCAGCTCAGTGTAGGGTTTATTTAGAGAGAAAAGGAAACCTATATGGAAATTATATTTCTTTTAGGCAAAAATGATAGCAAACACCATAAGAAAGGACATATCAGGCTCCAGGGTGTTGGGTAATCCAGCCCCTTCCTTGCCTCCTGATGAATAGCAAGTTAGAGATTAAAAGCAGGGCTTGAGCATGGGACAGGCAAAAAGCAAGAACAAGAAGAAAGGAACCCTTTGACCATTTTCCCAGAGGCTTGCACCTCTTCACCACAGCCTTAAGAATACTTGATCCAAAATATTATCTTTAAAATGTGTTAAAAATAAAATATTGTTTTAAAACTCATGCAACCATCACTGTGGAAAACAGGATGGCAGTTCCTCAATATATTAAACCAGAATTACCATTTGATCCAGCAATCCCATTTCTAGGTTTACATACAAATGAACAAAAAGCAGGATCTCAAACTAATTTTTCCATATACGTGTTCATAACAACACTATTCACAATAGCTAAAAGGAGGACAAAAATCAAAGCATCCTTCTACAGACGAATGGATAAGCAAAGGGTAGAATACACACGCAGTGGAATAACATTCTGCCAAAAGAATAAAGGGAATTCTGATACATGCTTCAAACTGGGTGAAGCTTGAGGACACGGTGCTAAGTGAAATAAGCCATCACAAAGGACAAATACAACATGATCCTATTTACATGGGTTCCTAGTCTAGTCAAATTCATAGACAGAAAGAAAAAAGTTGCCAGGGATTGAGAAAGAAGAGGAAATGGGGAGTTACTGTTTCATGAGTACAGAGTTTCAGCTTTGCAAGATTAAAGAGTTCTGGAAATGGATGGTGGTGACAGTTGCACAATAATATGAACGTTACTTAATGCCACTAAACTGTACACTTAAAAATGATTAAGATGATGATAGATGGCTGCATATATTTTACCACAATAAAAATGATTTTTTTTAATTCATGCAATTGTTTTCTTCTCCTTCCCTAATCCAAGACCACCAGTCATGCTTCTCTCCCAAGGAGTGAGGGTGACCATAGAGTGCACCCTTCTGCCTAGAAACTGATGACAGATCCAAACAAACAGGAGTCCCCTACAGAATGGCCAAACATGGGAGTGCCTCCAGCTCGGGTAGCAGCTAGGACTCCTTGTGCCTCACCCCACCCGGGATCTGAGAGCCGAGCCGCCAGTGCTGAGCAGTAAGTGCTTAAGTGCGGGCTGGGCTCCGCTCTCCACCTGGACTTCACAACTATGGATTTGCGACCCTGCCCCCACCTCGGCAGCTCTTCATCACTGAGGCATGGCTACATTTTCAGGCATCATCTAAGATAAAATTCCCTAAAAAGTGCAGTTTGCTGCCCTGGAAGCAGCGTGCATGAGGTGCCAGCATTGGACAGGGAAGCACGCTCGGACGTGCAGGCGGAGACCAGCCCCACTGATGTTCGGCAGCGCCCTCTTCCGGGAAGACTCGCAAGCTCAGCTTCTCCACAAAGATCCTGGGAGCCCGCTGCCTTCGCTCCTATGGACCCTATGGACTGGATGCATCAAGCTCCCAACAATGCCTGAGTCCGGCAAATGCAAAGCCCAGCTGTCTGGATGCTTTGGGCTTCCGGCGGATGTATCCTCATCCATTTCTTCAAAAGGCCAGGAAGTGTTGAGAAATCTGGACAACATTCTATTTGTGTAAAATTCCAAAGCAAGCAATAAATGATGGAAGTCAGAATAGTGGTCATGTTTGAGGGGTCAGTGACTGCCAAGAGGCATGAGAGAGGTTTAGCGGTACATTTGTTGATCTGTATGGTGATTGGTTATATTACAATGAAAATTTGTTGACCTGTACACTTACCTATACTTCTTTGTTTGCATTTTATACTTTATTTTTTTAAATGTTTATGGTGGCTATAACTTGGAGTCTAAATGTACCACAAAGGCCCATTCAGTAAATACTCAGTTCCCAGCTTGCACTGTTGAAAGGTGAGGGAACCTTTAAGAGGTGAAGGCTAGTGGGAGGACGTTAGGTCAATGGGAGTGAGCACTGAAGAGGGGGTTGTAGGACCACTGTGCCTTCCTCTCTTTCATTCCTGGTTACAAGGTGAGCTGTTTTTCTTTGCAACATATTTCTTCCATGTGTGCTGCCTCACCACAAATCCAAAGCTAAGGGACCTGATCATTTGTGAATTGGAATCTCCAAAACTATGAATCCAAAATAAACCTTTTTTCTCTTTCTAAGAAGAAGAGGAGGAGGAGAGGACAGAGGAAGAATTCTTGGTTGAACCCCTTTCCCAATGAACTGAGTCAAGGAAGATGCAAGAGTAACCTGGGCAACAAGGGCACTCCCAACAATGGCCACAATGAGTGAGACTGGATGTGTGAGGAGTTATACAGACATCCTTAAGAAGACTTCATATAAACAAGTCAGTAACAAGGAGAGAAAGGCTTACCTGCTGCACAGGCTCTCTGCTAAGAGTCCAAGGAAGGTGAAATGCTCCACCAGGCCACCCCAACATGTGGGAGGGAGGGAGAGTTGGCACCTGGCCTTGATCCTCCTTTCCTCACACTCACAGCTCTTTGACCCCAGGACAAGGTAGGCCAGCAGGACTGACACTATGGACTTCATCTCATTTGCAGTGGTCACCCAAGAAACTCAGGTGGCCAGATTTGTTTTCCTTCCAGACCTTGTCTCACACAACCCCAGCCCCTACCTTCTCTTATGGTGCCCTCTGTACCCAATCCAGTAGTCCTTCCTTCAGTCCACTGATCTCACCTCTGACCCTTGCCACTTCTATTCTCCTCAACTTGAATTCCATAACCTTTTATTTGGCACTCCTTTGAAAATGCCTCAGGAACTTGGCCCTCCCTCAGCTCTCAGCCTTCACTCATTAATCCTTCTCTCCACCTGCTTGCTGCCTGCATCTGAGCAGTTGGATGTGCAGGACACTGGTAGCATTTTATATTAGTGATCATGCAGATATTCAAGGATGGGAGAGGCCAGACTACCTAGAAATAACTCCTCCTGCAGTCCTGCACCTTTCATTCTCCTGCTGTCCTTGGGGACTCTGCACACCATGTCCTTTCTCAGTCTCCCAGCACCAACTGAGCACACTTGCCCAGCTTATTTCCCTGAGAAGATGGAGCCTTGAGAGGATTCCCACCAGCTGCTTCCACCTGCCCCCATCATCTCCAGGTTCTCACCTAAGTCCTTGCTAAGAACGCACCTGGGATCACATCCAAGCAGTCCTGTCTGTTCAGTCACCCCAGTAATTCTCTCTTCCATCCAAACCCCTCCCCCCTACTAGATTATCTCAATGAAGTCTAAATATGGATGGGTTTATACACCTTGTTAAAAAAAGAAACCCTCATGATCTCATGCTCCTCCCAGACACAGCCCCATTTCCGACTCCCATTTTCTACACAAAGCTGATTCCTCTCTCTTTACTCTCTACCGCATTCACCATTTACTGCATCACTTTACCAAAGTCATTTGATGGGGTCACCAATGGGGTCACTTGATGGGGTCACTTTTCCATCCTCTTCTTACTGGACACAATAATTATTCCCACCCCTGCCATGTTCTCCTCCCAGCCCCTGGGCTTCTTCCTGCCCCTTCCTCCTCCCTGTTCCCAGCTTCCTGTGCTGCACCCACCTGTTGCATGGTGACCCTGCTTCAGCCTTCAGTCTCCACTCCCTCTGTGCACTCACTCCCCAAGATTTCATCCACCCTCACTATTTAAACACACCTGCCCACCCCTGGTTCATAAAGGTATATTCCTCTCCCAATCGACTTCCCATATGAACACCATACTTGTATTTCTAAAAATCTACCAGACAACTCCTCTCAATGTTGAATCTTAAAATGAAAATTTAAAAAAAAACCTCCTGATCTAGAAAGAAAGATTGTTAGTCTGTTCCCCAGGACTTTCTTTTCCTCAGTAAAGGGCAATTCCCTTCTCTCTGTTGCTCAGCTCTGAATCACAGGTATCTGGCTGTCTGTCCTGCTCTGCCTCCACTGCAAACTCAGCCAATCCTGTTGGATTTTCCTTTAAAGTAAATACACAGATTGATCACTTCTCGTCACCTCCGTTGATATCAGCTTGGGCCAAGCCACCCCCATTGGGCCCCAGAGTCATTTTAAGTCACCTCCTTCTTCTGCCCTGCCTCCCTGTCTAGTCACAACAGCCAAACTAACCTTTTAAAAGAATAAATGAAATCATGTCACTCCCTTGTTCAAATGCCTCAATGCCTTGCCCTCTCAAAGTCCTTAAAATGACTGCTCACCTTGACCTGAAGTCCCTCCCCACCTAGCCCTCCCCCAAAGCCTCCTCTTTGGAAACCTTTCCTAGCTGCACCCACACTCCTCCCATCAGTCTCAGGGTCTTCACAGCACACCCCCCAGTCTCCTCCCAGTTGGTCCCCTTTACCTTTGCACTCTCTGCCCAAAGCCACCTTCACAGAGAAGTGTTTCCTGACTCCTTTATTTAAGAATGACAACTCTCTCCCTCCTCATACCCTCCTCACTCATTTCTCTTCCTCACTCTGTGTGTTTGCAAAGCACAGATCTCTTTCTCTCATTTGACACATTTTAGCTTGTTTATTTGTCTAATTTCTTTCTTCTACCTATTTCTAGATAACAGCTCCAAGCAATCAAGGACTTTTCTATTCTTTTCACTGCTGAATGCCCATTGCTAAGACCATGAGGAGAACTCCTATGGATCCATTTGTTCCTTAAATTCAAGAAAGAGTCTTGTCTATTTTCCCTTTCTCTCCTTCTTTGTACCCTCTTTCCTATCATTCTCATCATTTGTTATATTTGCTCTCATCTGTAAGGATCTGAAATGATTTAGAATGAGGTACCCCCCCAAAATTTCATGTGTGAGATAATGTTCAGAGGTGAAATGATTTGATTACGAGAATTGTGACCTAATCAGTAGATTGATCCACTGAAGTAGATTAACTGGGTGGTCACTGTAGGTAGGTGGGTTGTGGCAGGAGGAAGTAGGTCACTCAGGACATGTCTATGGGATTTATATTTCATCCCTGTAAAAAGAACTCTCTCCTTTTGCTTCTTGGATGTCATATACTGAGCTACTTTCCTGTGCCATACCCTTCCACCATGATGTCTGTCTCCCTTGGGCCCAGAGCAGTGGAGTCAGCTGACTATGGCCTAAACCTCTGAAATCATGAACCAAAACAAACTTTTCCTTGTCTGAGTCATTCTTGTCAGGTCTTTTGGTCCCAGTGTCAAAAATATGACTAATACAGAATTCCTCAGTTGTACCCTCTGGTGAGTGTTGATTTCATTGGGCTGTTTCATTTCCAAAAACACCTTCTTTTCTTGTTCTCTTCCTGCACCTCTTTCTTAGCTACCTATACCTGTGTTTGAGCAAAGTGCTACTCTTCAACACCTTTGAGACCTCAGACTAGAATTGTGTCACTATTCTCTCTTCTGCATTAATGGTTTGGGTCAGGTCCACTAGTGGGTTGCTTAGCTAGACCTCTTGTTGTGGTTGGGATATGAGCCCAAAAGCTCCTGTGTTAATGCAGGAATATTCTGAGATGAGATGATTACATTATGGGAGCTATAACCTAATCAGTGAATTAATCCATTTAATGGTTAATAATTTGAAGGGAATACCGTATTGGTGGTAACTATAGGCAGATCAGGAGTAGCTGAAGGAAGTAGGTCTTTGGGGGAGTGCCCTTGGGGATTATATCTTATCTGTCTCCTCTCCCACCCTTCTGTGCTTCCCAGCTACCATGAGGTGAGCAGCTTTTCTCCACCATGATTTTCTCTCTCATCTTAGGCCCAAAGCAATGGAGTCAGCCATCCACGGACTAAACCTTTGAAACCAAGAGGAAAATAAACCTTTCCTCTTCTAAGTTGTCCTTATCAGGTATTTTGGTCACCACCGACTAACACGAGGATCCCTCTTAGACACTGCTACCTCATCAACCCTCTCAAGAGTTCTCAGTGACACTTCCACATTTGGAAACTTGATTGATCGACACGGAGCTCTTGGGATTCTCTCAGCAGCATTCACCAGCAGCATGCTGAGAGCTGTTCAATGCTCCCCTGGAGGCATACACCAAGATAGATAGATAGATAGATATTAGTTAGAGGAGAGGCCTCCCCACTTGAAGGTGTATGGATCTTATACTTTATATCTTTCTCCTCAGCTATTCAAGTAAGAAGCTGACCAACATAATGAGATCTTGTAAGAATGGACATAGGTGACTGCATGAGACCCTCAGAGGAGCACCCTACTTCAGCTGACAGGTGGCCAAGTTGAGGGCCCCTCGGGAAAAACCCTGTTCTTTGCTCTTTTGTGTGTCATAAAAGAGTTCCAAAAAATTTCTCCTTTATTCTCCCACAACTGCTTCCTGACCCACCCATTCCTCCAACCCTGGATTCAGTTAGGTCTTTTTATTCAGTTAGATCTATAATAATAATAGCTAAAATCATCCAAACACTTGCTCTGTGCCAAGCATTGTTGTTAGGATTTTACAGAAATCTATTTGTTTAGTCTTCATACCAACCCAGTTGAGCAGCTACTATTATTTTCCTAGTTGAAAGATGAGGAAGGTGAATCAGAGAGAAGTTAAGACCTGCCCGTGGTCAGGCAGCTGGTAAGGGCAGGTTTTGAGTACAGAGCTTGCTCTTGTGCCAGTGGTAAGGACGGAGCAGAAGGAGTATGTTTGAGATCTGTGCTGCTATTCTGAGCCTTTGAGAGCCTGTCTGTGTATGGTGTGAACGTGCACAATTGGGAGGCACCTGGGAAGCTGGGCCAGCACCTTCTTCTTAAGAGCCCGATCAGTCACAGTTCCCCCACTCTATCAAGACATGACATGAAAATAAATCATTTGCATGCCAAAGTTAGAAAAGGTACTGGTTGTTCAAATCCAGTGAAAATCTCTTATTTGACTTTATTTTTTTTTAATTTTTTATTGTGGGTTGTTCAAAACATTACAAATTTCTTGACATATCATATTCCACACTTTGATTCAAGTGGGTTATGAACTCCCACCTTCACCCCATACACAGATTGCAGAATCACATCAGTTACACATCCACTGATTTACATATTGCCATACTAGTGTCTGTTGTGCTCCGCTGCCTTTCCCATCCTCCACCCTCCCCCCTCCCCACCTCTCCCCTCCCCTCCCCTCCTCTCTCTCTACCCCCTCCACTGTATAACCCTGAGGGTCTCCTTCCATTACCATGCAATTTCCCTTCTCTCTCCCTTACCCTCCCACCTCTCATCCCTGTTAAATGTTAATCTTCTTATCTTGCTCTTCGTCCCTACTCTGATCTTAGTTACTCTCCTTATATCAAAGAAGATATTTGGCATTTGTTTTTTAGGGATTGGCTAGCTTCACTTAGCATAATCTGCTCTAATACCATCCATTTCCCTGTAAATTCTATGATTTTGTCATTTTTTAATGCAGAGTAATACTCCATTGTGTATAAATGCCACATTTTTTTTATCCATTCGTCTATTGAAGGGCATCTAGGTTGGTTCCACAATCTTGCTATTGTGAACTGTGCTGCTATGAACATCGATGTAGCAGTGTCCCTGTAGCATGCTCTTTTTAGGTCTTTAGGGAATAGACCGAGAAGGGGAATAGCTGGGTCAAATGGTGGCTCCATTCCCAGCTTTCCAAGAAATCTCCATACTGCTTTCC